ACCTGGATTCAAACACAGGCTCCTTACTTTGTCACTGTGTCACCTCGGGCAAGTCGTTTAACTTCTCCGACCTACAGTTCCCTCCCTTGTAAAACACAGATATTAGCCGTGCTTTCCTTGAGCAGTTTGGTGGGGATAAAGGAGATAATGCACATGAAGTCTTTAGCACAGTGCCCAGCACGTAGAAAATACTGTGATGTTAGCTACCGTTATTATTATTTACATTCCTTTTCTCATTTAATCCTCACCACCACCACCCCTGTGAGTTAGGCGTTGTTGTTCCTTATTTATAGAGCGAACAACTGAAGCTCAGAGGCTAAATCACTCGTCCAAGGTTAGCTAGCAAATGGTGGGACCAGCTCTACAAGACTAGAAGCCTAGGCTTCTTTGCTCTTTTTCCTTTCAGATAAGCTGGTAAACGATGCCAGAGTTGTGGCAATGTGACAATTATTTTAAAATGCATTTTATGCCATAATCCACATCAGTCTTTTCTCTTTTGGTTGTGCCCACCACCTCGCCACCTCGCCACCTCATCTGTTGAAGATTTAAGGTTTGGGGCCGTCTGTACTCCGGAAAGCAGCCAGCAAGCACATGGGTGTTGCCCCTCCAGGGACATTTCATTTATGAAATGTCCGCTCTGGTTTGCAAACAGGTCTGTTGCCGACAGGCTTCCAGCTGGCTGGTGGTTTCAGTCACAACCCCTCCTCCTTGGTGCCAATTAACAGAAATTAAATGTCCCTGGCACACTTTGCAACTCAGAAAATGCATGTGCCGATTAGTTAAACCCCTGCTGGATGCGCCACTATGACCCGAGGACTCCAGGCCAATGTCGCTCTCACTCCATCTCCATTTAAAGTCACAGAATGTCTTCTTCCTGGGAAAAATCGATGTCACCTCATTCATTTATTCCTTCATTTTTTTATTCGATAAATATTGAGCGTCTACAGTACCATGGCAGGTACTGTTCCATGCAGTTGAGATACACAGTGAACAGTGTAGATAAGGTCTACACCTTTGTGAAGAGGAGGGAAAAAACAGACATACAGCATTGGCGGGGAGAGCAGGAACGAGCTCAGCACGTCCAGGAAGCTCGCCATGGCGTACATTCGATGAACATTCCTTCATTTACCAAACATTTTTTATCACACAGTACTGTTGAATGAACAAATAGAGAACAGATGAATCCTCTTTTGTCCAGACAAGAAGAAACCTTCACAGGGAGGACGAATTTAGGAAAGGGTGATGCCACTGAAGTTAGTAGAGTTTGCAACGCAAGTTACTTCCCTTTTATCCGCCCCAGTCCACGGCTCTAAAGCAAGGGGCTTGGCTTGGGTACTAGCACTCCTGGACTGTAGGCTCTCCAGCACTCACCGTCCAGAGGGATTGGCCCTCGAAGCTCTTTAAAGCAATGACAATACAGAAAGCAAAAAGCAATCTGTCATTTGTTTTTTTATAAAAAAAAAAAACAGTCAAAATGGTTGTTTGGAATTGTATAGACAAGGCGTGAAATGTCATTTCCTTTATCAGTAAGATGTACTTACTGAATTTCTGCAGCCGCTTATTCATTCAGAAAATAATTATTGCTAGTTGTGAGTCTCTCTCTCTTCCGCCCTCCTCCCTCTTTCTCTCTCTCTCTCTCCTTCTCCTGCTATTTCCCTCCACCCTTCTCTGCAAAGCAGTTAAGAGCCCAGGATATAGAATTGGAACATCTGAGTTGTAGCTAAAGTATGATTTGCCGTGTGACTTTGGAAAAATCACTTCACCTCTCTAAGTCTCAGTATTCTCATCTGTGTAATGGAAATAATAATAGAAGCCATCTCAAAACAACCATATAAAGTAAATACCAAGCTATTATTATCTTCACTACTATCTGTGTTTATCCTTCTATAGATTAGGATGTAAGATTTTAAGAACTCAACTTAGGAAACTGAGACAGGTTTTTAGGGCAAAAGAAACTCTAGCAAAGGGTGAGTTGAGACAGTGAGCCACTGTCTTATGATCTGTCCCCACCTCTAGGATTTTTCATTGTTTGAGATAATTGAGAAGTAGCATCACAATAAATAGCCTTCACTGTGCCTTTTAATTTATAATAATAATTTTGAGCCAACAATTATGGAGTCTCTGCTATGTGCCAAACACCATTCTATGTGCTTTACTTATACCGCGTATCTACCAATCTAAAAATCTCACCACAACCATGCAGAGTACATACTATTATTACTGGCCCCATGTTACTAGTCAGGAGACTAAGGCCTAGAGATTTTGCAATTCTCATGGGGTCACCAGGCTAGGAATTAGTGGAGTTTGGAACTAAACCCAGGCAATCTGGCTCCAGTCTATGGCTGCCAACTGCCTGCCACCTCCCTTAAGATGAGATGCAAACGCTATCCTGCAGACACCAGGGTTTTCTACTTCAAATAGCCTTGCCTTCTGAGCACTCAGTACATGAAAAATTATTATTACCTGCCCAATCCTAAAACCCCTGGCCTGTGGACACGGCACCAGTCAGGGCTGCTCCCCCGTCCTGCACAACACCAGCCATGAGAAAAGTCACACCTCCTACCATCGATAGGATTTCCGGATGCCTATTAAAATGTCAGTTGATCTTAGAGTTGACGTTCTTTCTACATCATTTAGCACAACCTGGAAGGTCAGATGAATGTGGCAGCCAGCCCTCCCTCAGCAGCTACTTCCTTATGACTTCCCTGCCCCACGCTTGTTCTCAGAAATGCTACATCACAATACATGCCGTTAAAAGAGCAAACAAACCACCACTACTCCTTTGAGATCCGGACACGGCAATCCAAAATAACCTTGCCTTCCGTACTGGAGGGACATTCTCCCAGCCCGCAACGGCAACACCGAGACTCATGTGCAGATCAAAGCAGCCACACCTGGGCCCACCGTGAGATTAACAGGTTGCAGCATCAGCTCTGGCACAGCCCCTGGGCACAGGGAAGAGAGGCAGGGTGTGTCTAAGGCAGGCCGCCTTCCTCTTTAAGGGCTAAAATTCATAAATAACAAAATGAAACTCCCGCTCAGTGGTGTATAGTAAAGACAGCGTAACTCCAAATCCTGTGTAATTTATTGATGTGGTGAGACACCGAACGCATCCTGGAAGTCACAGACTTTGTGTTCCCGCCGCCTCTCCTGCTGAATGTAAAGCAGCCACCTGAAGCCTCCGAGGGCTTTGCTGTCGTGCTGCTGCGTGGAGCGCATTAGCAAATGGGCACGTGCGGCAATGCATCTGCAGGCCCTGAGAGCTCCGAGAAGCTGAGCTTTGAGCCCGGATGTGGTGGCCTGCTTGAAGGCTGGTGCTCCTCCGGGATACCCAGTCTCTGGGGCCACTGATCATGGTTCTGCCTCAGAGCCTGGGAGTTTGGGTAAGACTCCCCAGACTGATGTGGTGCAAGACGCCCACAAACTTTGCTTGCAAGATGTGACTGTCGCACGCCATTCCCCCAAGAAACGAGGCTGCGATCATCATGAAAGTTTCCCCAGAGAGAAAACTAGCCTGCTCAATCAGCACAAGTCCCAGGATAGAAAAGAAATAAGGCTCCAGATTAAAAGAAATCGGGCAGGAAATGGAAAACTGCTTCTCCTACTTTTCTGTTTCTACTGGCTTTTCATGGGAACTCAAAAGTCTTAGTAAAATTTTAGCAAGCCAGTTTTCCAGCATCCTTTTTTTAACTTGCTCCTTTCCCCCTCGGCATGGCATTGTCGGTGTGGACTTTATTTGCACTCAAAAGGGCCAAGAGCCATGCTCTGGCAACAAAGTCATAGAGAGCACCTGATTCCTGTTATACCCATTCAAACCACCTGCCCTCACAAGGGGCTGCCAGGGTGTTGGGCTGCACTTTTCTCCTGTGCATTCTCAGTCTAAGGAGGAAAAAAGGAACAAAAAGTTGGGCAGGAAGGGGAGGACGTTGGTTACATATGTGGGGATGATAGGAAGGCATTTATATGTTTGCTGAAATAGTGCAGAGAATTCCTGTAAATGCTTCCACTAGGTTCCCCAAATGTTAACATTGTACTGTGTACATTCTAATTTTTTCTGGACCATTTGACAGTAAGTTGAAGACCAAATGCCCATTTATACCTAAACACTTCAGTGGGTATTTCCTAAAAGCAAGGATATGCTCTTACATAAGAAAATCAATGTTGGTATAGTACTGTTAATATTAACTAGTCTACAGGTCTTATTCCATGGATCTACTATTTTTTTTTTCAATTGTCCTACTATTTTCCTCTATAGAAAATTTTTTTTCAAAAGCCTTGTCTAGGATCCCTTTCAGGACCACATATTGCATGTAATTTTCGTATCTCTGTCGTTTCCTTGAATCTGGAAAAATTCCTCAAAACTCATTGTCTTTCATGGTCTTGGCATTTTGAAAAGTATAAGCCACTTATTTTATGGAATTTCTCTCAATTTTCGGTTTGTCTGTTGTTTCTTCATTGTTAGATTCCTATTTTTTATTTTTGACACTAATGGACAATAACTCATAGAATCAAACAGGAATCCCTGGGTCCACACTGCTATAAATAAATACATGGGGGAGAAGAAAAAGCTCTTCCTTACAGTGGACACCAACCACCAAGTGTAGAGGGAATGAGGGAATTTTTAAATCATCATTCAACAACCACTACAGTAATCATTGGTTCAGGCAAGAATCACCAGTGGATGTTAAAACTAGTGGGTAAGAGCTTGAACAGTCTCAGACTATCTCTTCACAAAATACTTATTAATCACAAAGGAAAAAAATCACAACTTTACCAGGGAAAAACCTGGTAGACAACCACCTTAGCCAAAAGACCAAAGTTAGCATCGCCACTAATGCAGAAATAGATAGTAGGTACCTCCCGACATCATGCACTTAGAAGGACGAAGCATCTCTTCTGTGACAAGAAAAAACAAATTTCTGCCCAAAATGTTTACGAATTTCAAAGAACTCTAGTTCCTCCTCACACCATAGATTCTGAAATCTTTTTCACCTTCACAGAGCCTGCCTTGGCAAACTTCTCCGGAGGAGCTGGGAGCCACTGGGATGCTGAAGAGAACAAATGATCTGCTCTGATGGAAACTGCTCACTGGCGAGTCTGTGGACCATGTGATGTTCCTTGAACATCAGGGGAGGCACAGGAGTAAGAATAGTCTGGCTCCCAAGACAGCAGGGTAATAGGAGAAAGAGCAAATCTGCCTGCAGCCCCGAGAGCAATGAGGGCTGGGCCAGGGTGGAGAAGCAAGTGAGTCGTGCACTGTCACAGGTTACTCCTGACTCCCCTCGCTCCTGCTGTCAAAGCCTCGCTTCATCTTGCGGATTTCTTCACAGCGTGGCACCTCACACACGAAAAGACCGGACATCAAATGCCTTCCAGCCCTGTCTGGCCTGTCTCTCCAGCTTAGCTTTAAAAGCAAAGCGGGGGATGACATCACCGTCTCCTCTCGGGTGTTCAATCCGGACAGCGCACGGCTTCTGCACAATGTCCTCTGCCCTTCACCCCACCCCGACTCCCTGCCGAGCAGCCTGCATGCCTCTGCCACACCCTCCTCCTTTTCCATTCTGTCTTTCCCCCATCCCTGCTGGCCCAGAGGAGTTCTGTTAGAACACAGCCATCAAGGAAACAGGGACTTGACACGTAAAGAATCTCAGACAAGGAACATCCATGATGCTATACGAGAGATACCACAGACTGCAATGCTTACAAAGAGGCTTTTTCAAGTAGGAAGATATAAATACCAGTTATAACCATGCATTCTTTTATGTTCATAAATAAGCCATCAAAAAGAACCAGCCATTAGAAGACATTCTACTCCTGGTTTAAACAAAAAACTGTAATCTAAAATACAATTTTTAAATTATCTGTGCTAACCCTGAGAGAGACATTGCATAGGTAGGTGACATTCACAAATGCCCTGATTTTTTTTTTTTTTTTTTTTTTTTTTTTTTTTTTTTTTGGACGAGAGTCTCGCTTTGTTGCCCAGGCTAGAGTGAGTGCCATGGCGTCAGCCTAGCTCACAGCAACCTCAAACTCCTGGGCTCAAGCGATCCCTCCTGCCTCAGCCTCCCCAAGTAGCTGGACTACAGGCATGCCACCATGCCCGGCTAATTTTTTCTATATATATTAGTTGGCAATTAATTTCTTTGTATTTATAGTAGAGACGGGTCTCGCTCTTGCTAGGCTGGTTTCGAACTCCTGACCTCGAGCAATCCACCCGCCTCAGCCTCCAGGAGAGCTAGGATTACAGGCGTGAGCCACCGCGCCCGGCGCCCTGTTTTTTTTTTTGAGGCAGAGTCTCACTCTGTTGCCCCAGCTAGAGTGCCGTGGTGTCAGCTAGCTCACAGCAACTCAAACTGCTGGGCTCAAGCATCCTTCTGCTCAGCCTCCCAGTAGCTGGACTACAAAGCATGTGCCACATGCCCGGTAATTTTTTCTATGTATTTTAGTCAGCCATTAATTCTTTCTATTATAGTAGAGATGGGGTCTCGCTCTTGCTCAGGCTGGTTTTGAACTCCTGACCTTGAGCAATACACCTGTCTCTGCCTCCCACAGTCCCTGATACTTTTTGAATTACACATTTTCATTTTCTCTCTTTTAAGTCATCAATAAGAATTTGATTTGGTTTTTTTTGAGACAGGGTATCACACTATGACCCAGGCTAGAGTGTGATCATAGCTCACTGTAACCTCAAACTCCTGTGCTCAAGCAATCCTCTGGCTCAGCCTCCCAAGTAGCTAGGACGATAGGCATGTACCACCATGCCTGGCTAATTTTTTGCAGAGACAGGGTCTCGCTGTGTTGCCCAGGTTGGTCTCAAACTCCTGACCTCAAGCAGTCCTCCCAGCTCTGCCTCCCAAAGTGGTGAGATTACAGGCATGAACTATCCCTCCTGCCAAAATTTCATTCTTAAAAGCGCATACTGTCTGATTATCAAAGATGATGACAGAAATGCAGAATCATTGTGGTTATGTTTGTTTTAAAGTTCAGATCCTAATGTTATACTGAAGCATCCTCAGTCTTTCATCCAATTCTGCTTGTAAATAGGAGCCAGCATCAGCCAAACCACGGAGCAGAGTAAGGATTGCATTGTGAAGTGACAGAAATGTTTTCTTCTGTATGAAACAGTCACATGTAGGGCTTAAACCAGCACCCATCTTTAATGGGACGTATCAGTTGGACTTCTCAACCATACCCTTCTCTCGGGTATGGTTGGTGGGAGAAGGTGGTTAAGAAGTCCCAGAGCATTGGCTTTATCTGCCAAGATGCCAAAGTATGATTGACACATTGGCTATTTACAACCTGTCCTCAAGGACCTCTTACCCACACGTCCATCTTCATACACTGGCTTCCCTCTCTCACAATTTGACGCAGGCAGGAACCACCACTCCTGATTTTACACCTGCTGGGTTTTTTGGGTTTTTTTGTAAGTCTCTGGAAACTTTCCATGACTGTAGTGAGTGTTTCATAAAGATTTAGCTCTTCCTTTGAACCAGCTCAGCCAATAAACCAAATATTTTCTAAAACACAAAATAAATAATCTGACTTGTTACCAGCCAATCCCAGCAGCTTAGGGAAAGCTCCCATTTTCTAAAATCTAAATCTCTGGATTCTGAGGACCAGCATACAGATTCCACATGGTTATGGGTCAAAAAGTGTGTGGGGGAGAGTGTTAGGGAGCTGGGCAAGGATGAGTTTGAATGGTTACAATGTCGGCCCAGAAATCTGCCTCAAAATAGTTAACTAACTATGAAAGCTGAGTTTCATCTCCTGGAATTGTTGTTTCTTATGACTATGCATTGGATCAGGGGAGAGAATGTTGTTTGGGGGGAAAAAGAGGAAGGAGAAAATGGACAAGGAGAAAAATTCACTCCTTCATGAAAATATAAGCAGAAAAACTGTAGACTTTTATACCTCTGCTTATTTTTTAAGTACAGTGTTTTTAATAGACCAAAGATAATCTTTATGAATATATATGTGAATAATGTTTATGAAAGGGGTATAATGTGTTAGTCATTAGAGAATATTGTATAAATAAACTTTAGATATATAATATATGTAAACATAAAAAATTGCATAGGGCAGTGGACACTTAAGGACTTTACAAACTTTTCATATCTTTGTTCCAAAAAATAGAGAGTTCCAGGGCTGGCAGCTTATTTCCCTAGTATATTCCACTGTAAAGTCAAGAGGTTTGGGGAATGTTTTTGTTTGTTTTCTGGTTTTATCACTGATAACGATCGATACGGATTGCTCTGAAATGTCTGTTGCATGTGTGTTGGTGGTGTTTACCCACGTGGAGTCATCAGAGATTCGTTCTACACGTTGTATCCTGGAATACCAAAAGGAATTTTCTAGTAAGCAGAAAAACACACAGAATATGTCTTCACTATTGGGTAACTCTCAGATTCGTACCACTCAGAGCTTTTTGTAAAATTAGGCTAATGGGATGTTTAATATTCAGGGTTATTGTCTTTCACTTACGTATCTAGTATTGGGTAATGTTTTTCCTGGGGAGCACATATTTTTGTCGAGTCCTCTGTTCTCGGACTTGATACGGTCTTCTAGAGGAAACCAGAAGTCGTGGCCCTAAGCCTCCTCTCTCCAGGACCACTCCCTACCATCTAAGAACTACACACATGTTAATTCTGTTTCATGTTCTGTGATTCTGTGGTGGACTCAATGCTTTCAGAGCCTGGAGTTCTACTTGCTTGGGTTAGTGGCTCTAATGAAGTGCTAAATTGGCTCTTCACCCCCCAGACGGATCAGAAGCAGCAGAAGGGAAAGGGGGGCTCCCTTGCTGGAGAGGTCCCCTCGCACCTGTCACATCAGCCGCCAGAAGAACTACGCCGGAAACCTGTGTGTGAAATACCACCTGCTCTTCGTGCAGAGCGAGGTCAACCATTTGAAAGTGCAGAGATCACTCAAGTCTCCTTTGCCAAAAATGTGCATTGTTCCCAGCTGTAAGCTTGTGAGGCCTGATGCGTGTTTTAGCATGAAACAATAAAAACAGATTTATTTTCATTTAATAGAGTTGTCCCCCAGGCCTGGATTTTTTTTTTTTTTTTTTTAAAAACAGATTTATTTTCATTTAATAGAGTTGTCCCCCAGGCCTGGATTTTTTTTTTTTTTTTTTTCTCAGTAGCTGGTTTGGAGAGGGCAGTACTTTTTCATAGATTAAATGTCAACATCGAGCATTTCATTTTCCCCAAAGGGATGTAGCTCCTGGCAGCTGTTCTAGTCATCCAGAAGGGAGGGCTGGGAAGACAGGAATCACTTGGTTAGATGGGTGGGGGCAGAAGCAAGTAGCACTTCCCGTGCACACGGCCGCAGGCTAAGTTCAGCTCTGTGGAGCAGACTCTGGTTGTGCAACCACGTGGGCCCAAGAAGGCACCTTGGCTGGAAGCTTCTCTGCCTGTGCAGTGCTGAGGTTAACTGCACAGCCTTGAAAACCTCGCTGCCTGTGCCACCAGCTGTGTGGCCTCAGGCAAGTTGCTTAACCCCTCTGTGGCTCAGATCCCTTTTCTGGAAGATGGAGATAGACCACCAGCTTGCCAAGAGATATTAAGGGTAAATGTCTCAAAATACGCAGACGGCTTTGAACAGTGCCTGGCACACGCAAGCGTCCAATAAAATTAGTGTTTGACCACCTTCATAATGTTTGCCATCTCCACCAACCATCCATGTTATTTACTTAATTTTTCTACTTTAATTGACTCAATTTTCATCTAAAATTTAATTTAAAAAAATTTACATCCCAACTCTACATGGAAAACTTGTATAATTTGCTATAAATATAAAGTAGCCATACAGTAGTCATAGCTCATATTTACTGAGTCCTTGCTTCTTGCCAGGCACTGTGCTAAGTGTCTTGATTTCTACTCCTCACAGCCCTGTGTGGTCAGCACTATCACTTACCCCTGCATAGACGAGGACACTGACACGGAGAGAAGTTAGCAAACTTGCCTACAGCTGCATAATTAGTAAATAGAGGAGACATTTCAGGCTTCAGAACTCAGGCTCTTCAGCGCTGTTCTGTGCTGCAGCCCTAACAAAAACAAGAGCATTCGATTCACATGGTAGATGATTACTCTCTTAGCTTCCTACTGCTGCTGTAATCAATTGCCACAAACAGGGTAGCTTAAAACAACAGAAACATAGTCTGACACCGTTCTGAAGGCTGGAAGTCCAAAATCAAGATGCTGGCAGGGCCACACTCCCTCCAAAACCTCTGGGGAAGGATACTCCCTTGCCTCTTCCAGCCTCCGGTAGCCCCAGGCATTCCTTGGCGTGGGGCAGCCTCCATCCAATCTCCACCTCCTTCTGCAGGTGACTGTCCTCCCTCTATCTCTATTTCTGTGTCTTCTCTTATAAGGACACCAGTCATATTGGTTTAGGACCTACTCTGATGACCTCATCTTAACTTTATTACATCAGCAAAGACTCTATTTCCAATAAGGTCACATTCACAGGTACCAGGAGTTGAGACTTGATGTTATGTTTTGGTGGAGGGGTGGGAGGTAAAGGACACAATTCAACCCAGAACAGTTGCCTACCGAAGGCTTTGAGCCTGGGGCCTGAAGACTTGCAAGTGCTGGAGGTTCAAAAACAGTACCAACCTGAGACTGTGTCCTTCAGCATGAGGACTGAAGAGTCAGGACAAGGGAAGAACAATGGCTTGTAGTTTCAGTGACATCATTCAGTGCCCAGTCCGGATGCTAACTAAAATTAACCATCTCCTGCCCCACTGCTGATACTTTGGGGAAAGTGGCTTGGCACACATAAGAAAGCCAATAACAATTCTTCCAGTCTTTTAGACATCCCTCGTGAGAAGGATGGCATAGAAATCTGGGCAGTGCAGGGATGCAACTTTCCAAAACTCCAGGCAGGGGGTGTGCACAAAACTCACCTTTGGATATGCAGTATATGGCTGGACTGGAATAGCAACTTGACAGATAATAATGCCTTTATCAGGGGAATGCATAAAGAAAGGACAACAGTAGAGACAGTAGGGAGAAAATAATTTATTCTCATACTGTTTCTGTGAAAACTTAAGAAACACAATCTTTCTACTAAGAGGAGTTTGAGAGGAGGGTGTGGGGGGAGTGAGGAGGAGGAACCGTCTTGCTCTGTCAAATGAGGGTATCCTTAGTCGAAGGGACTGCACAGATTTCATACAGTTGGGAAGTCCTCATCTTGAGTTCCCGGGCCACTTGACAGATGGAAAAAGGCCAACAGCAGTGCACCGCCAGCCAATCCTCACACAAAGTGCCCTAGGGCAAGACCAGGATTCTATCACAGTCTCTGTTCTATCACAATCACACAGACTTGTCCCCACTCCCCCAGGGACCTATATTGTGTTACCTGCTGGCCCGCTGCCCACTGCTTCAAAGATCCTCCAGCCTCCTTGAGTCAACACCCCGGGGCCCCAGGTTGCCCAACTGCCAAGCACTTCAATTGCTAATCAACATCTGCAATTTAGAGCTCTGTCCTTAGGACTATTGATATGGGTCTCAGACTTGAAAATCCCTGACTTCTCTATTGATGTCTTGGTTTTTCTCTCTTAGGACCTAATATTTATAATTATTTATTTCTTTGGAGTAGGTATAATAAATGCACATGGCGCAAAATTCCCACAGTAAGAAGAGACAGAAAGTAAAAAATAAACCCACTCTATAGCTGTCCGAACTTATCAAGTCACCTGCCTGGGGACAGCGATTGTTTCCACTTTACCGTATACACCCCTAGATAAATTCTATGTCTACATAAGCATATTCTTTTCATGTAAATAATTGCATACTTCTGTGCCTCTTTTTTTTTTTTTCACTTAAAAATATATCGCAGGAGGCTAGGCATGGTGGCTAATGCCTATAATCCTAGCACTATGGGAGGCCGATGGGGGAGGATTGCTTGAGGTCAGGAATTTGAGACCAGTCTGAGCAAGACTCCATCTGTGCCAAAAATAGAAAAATTAGCTGGGCCTGGTGGCACATGCCTATAGTCCCAGCTACTTGGGAGGCGTAGGCTGGAAGATCCTTCGGCTCTAGGAGTGGCTATGATGACACCACTGCACTCTAGCCTAGGCAACAGAATGAGGCCCTATCTCAAAAAAAAAGTAAATCTAAACAGCTGTCATACTATTCTTGGGTACTATTCTTGTAATTTTTATGTAAGTTTAAAATTATTTCCATTGGAGGCTGAGGCAGGAGGAAAGCTTGAGCCCAGGAATTTGAGGTTGCAGTGAGCTACGATGATGCCACTGTTCTCTACCTGGGAGACAGAGTGAGACTTATATATATATTATATATATATAATCTCAGGGATCATTTCATAGAATATATAAAAAGATGCCTTTTTTTAAACTATCCACATCTTAATATATGTAATTGTCTCTCCACTGCTTCTCATGCACCTCAGTTTTGGTTGTGCTGGAAACTGACTGGCTCTTTGTTTTTTTGGTTTTTTTTTTTGAGACAGAGTCTCACTTTGTTGCTCGGGCTAGAGTGAGTGCCATGGCGTCAGCCTAGCTCAAAGCAACCTCAATCTCCTGGGCTCAAGCAATCCTACTGCGCCTCAGCCTCCCGAGTAGCTGGGACTACAGGCATGTGCCACCATGCCCAGCTAATTTTTGTGTATATATATTTCTTTTGGTTGGTCAATTAGTTACTTTCTATCTTTAGTAGAGGTAAGGTCTCGCTCAGGTTGGTTTCGAACTCCTGACCTTGAGGGATCCACCTGCCTCGGCCTCCAAGAGTGCTAGGATTACAGGCGTGAGCCACCACGCCCGGCCCTGACTGGCTCTTTGAAGGACTCCCAGGGAACCCCATAAGTGAAATCTGCATATGTCACATAGGCTATATTTTAAGTCAGACCTCCCAAGTATATTCTCCAAATTTGGTATAATTCTGCCTGCCATCTTCTCTTGATGTAATTCGAGACAGAGAGACAGAAGTGTGCTGTTATTTCTCCAGATGGAAGGTGATGTGTGTTGGTTTAAGGAGTAAGACTAATCATGGCTACATGCTCCTACTCCTCTTTCATCAAAGCACAGCTCAGGCAGCACAATTTGTCCAATGGGCTGGGGACAATGTGCATCATAATTTCCCCTTAGAAATGCCCTGCACAACATGGCATTTTAGTTAACTTATACTTCCTGGTAAAGAATGAAATCAAAACATTTCTTTCTTTCACTTTCCTTTATCAAAGTTTCCCACTAAGTGTAGTATGTTTAAGCATCCTCACCTACACATCTTTTTTGGTTTTTGGGGGGTTTTTTTGTTTGAAAAATCACAGGTTTGAAAGGCATCCAAGTTCTCATATAAATTCAGATTCACATATACCTTCAAAGACACTTACCTGTATTTTATGTCTCTCCCTGGTGCCAATTCTCAGTGCAAAGGTGGAACCAGGTAACAATGGCCAACAAAGACACTCTCCATAATGCCTGGCAATGTCACACTCAAGACATACTGGACAACACAGACCACAGAAACCTGTCAATAACCACAGTAAATAATGCCAAGGTTCTTAGATGTTCTTGAAGCGACTTCACATCTCAAAGGGCATTTTCAACCCTATGCCATCAATTTAATGCTGAAATCAGGGACTGATATTGAATAACCAATTCTCAAAACTCGGTGTATAAAGACTGTCTTCTTCTGTTAAACACTGGCAAAGCTAAAGCTGATACAATTCTGCTAGTATTGACTATGATAATTGTATTTTTTTCCTGTCAAGAGAAAAACATTAAATAATTTAAAAACATTAAAAATTAATAAATTATTAAACATTAAAAACATTAAATAATTTTTAACAGTTAAATCATAACTGTTGCATGTATCTAATTTCAGTATTTAAAATTGACGAGTATATAGAATATTTTTGAATAACAGACATCTTTTTCTCTAAATGTGATTGAAAGGTCTGATTCTGCCTTCTATTCCTATCAGGGCTTTATTCTATTCCTCAGACCAGGTTACTATAAATTTTGTTGGTTTTATGAAGCCTCTGACATCTGCCATTTTAATCTACAAACGATTACAGGCTTGGTATCTTGAACATCAACTGGAAACAACTTGTTATTAGTTCAAACAACTTGTTATTAGTTTATTCATCTTTAACCAGTGACATTGTTTCTTACACATTCTGCATGAACCTTCTAATAGAAGTTCTATTCTAAATATGTTTTGGGTCACAGACTCTTTTGAGAATATGATGATAGCTATGAATTCACTCCACAAGGGAAAAGAAAAATACATGCATACAGACATGCAAAATTGTGCATTCAATTTCATGGGGTTCATGGATCCACTGAAAACCACAGATTAAGAACTGCTTATTCACGCCTGTAATCCTAGCACTCTGAGAGGCCGAGGCGGGCGGATTGCTCGAGGTCAGGAGTTCGAAACCAGCCTGAGCAAGAGCGAGACCCCGTCTCTCAGTCCACTGACTCACGTCCCATTCAGATGTGTGTAAGGCCTACATGCTGACTGTTCTTCATACACAGAACGAACCCATTTCTGTCACTTCACAATGCATCCTTACTCTGCTCCGTTTTGGCTGATGCCGGCTCCTATTTCACAAGAATGTCGCTGAGTGTTGTTACATTAGATCTTGAACTTTAAAACAAACATCCACACAATGAGTCGCTGCATTTCTGTCCATCATCTCTTTGGATAATCCAGACGGCAGCTACTGGTGCTTCAAGAACTGAATTTGCAGGCACAGGGATAGTTCATCGCCTGTAATTCACCAATTTGCGGAGGCACGAGGTGGGAGGACTCGCTTGAGGTCAGATTTGAGACCAACTCTGGGCAACACAGCGAGACCCTGTCTCTTGCACACAAAAATTAGCGCAGGCATGGGTGGTACTCCGTACCTACCGCCTACGCTTGGGACCTGAGCCAGAGGATTGCTGTGGAGCCCAGCGAGTTTGACCGGTTACAGTGAAGCTATCCATCACCTCTACCGCACTAAGGCTCCATACAGTGACGCATACCAAAAACCTGCTCTCACACAAAAACCAAACACTAACTTCCGTATGATGAACTAAACACCGCGGGCAGAGCAAACTCGAAATCGTGCTAGATTCACAAAAAGCTATCACGCGACATCGGGCGAACGGCCAGAGACGACACCGGTGCGTAGTTGCCTCCAAGTCAGCGTATTCAAAAACTCACGCCTGGCAGCCAGAGCGACGGACCTCATTCTACCTACATAGAATACACGAAATTAATTGGCTCAACTAAAATACATAGAAACAATATTACGGGGGGCATGGTGGCAACATGCTTGTAGTCCCAGCATACTCTGGACGAGCTGAGGCAGAAGCGATCTGCTGACCCAGCAGTTTGAGGTTGCTGTGACGCTAGGCTCGACGCACGGCACTCCGAGCTGGGGCCCAACCAGGAGTGACGACTGCTGCATCAAAAAAAAGCAAAAAAAAAAAAAAAAAAGATCAGCGGCCCATTTGTGAAGTGTCACCTACCTAAAACAACAACACTCAAGAAATTACGCAAAAATTAAAAGTAATTATTACAAAATTTTTTGTTTTAACCAGGAGCTAGAATGTCATTCTAATGGCTGGTTCTTTTTGATGGCTATATTAGAACATAAAAGAATGCATGGTTTATACACTGGTATTAACTACTTCCTACTTGAAAAAGCTCTTTGTAAGCATCTGCAGCTCTGGGATCCATCTCTATAGCGTCATGGATCGTTCTCTGTCTGAGATATCTCTTACGTGTCAAGTACCCTGTTTCTTCGATGGCTGTGTTCCTAACAGAACTCCTGGGCCAGCAGGGGATGGGGGAAAGACAGAATGGAAAA